AGAAAAGCATACCGGAGATTTGGAGGTAAAGGTTTTAATTCTACCTTTGGGGCATGCTCCTCTCCAAGGGGGTCAAGAATGGCAAGAGCTCCCGTCATGTTATCAAAGTTGCTTCTCCACTCTTGCATGCCAAGGTCTACCTTGATTTGGGTGCACTCTCCCAACTTTTCAAAGAAATTTCCCACAAGAGAGCTTCCTTGGTTATCTCCTCCAATTCCAAGCACCTCTCCAACGCATTCTTCTATGGCTTCCACCATGTTGCACTCATCAATGTAAGAAGGTTGGTGCTTGGCCATCTTGAAGATGTCAAACTCAATTTTATGGCCGGCTACCTCCATCACAAGCTTCCCTCTTTTGACATCTATGATTGCCCCGGCGGTGGCTAGAAATGGCCTACCAAGGATTATTGGAACCTTGGTATCCTCCTCTATGTCAAGAATCACGAAATCTCCCGGAATGTAGTATTGATCAATCATGACCGGGATATCTTCAAGTACTCCCACCGGGCGCTTGATGGAACGATCCGCCATTTGGAGTGTCATGGTAGTGGGCTTGGGCTCTCCAAGATTGAGCCTCTTGCATAGAGAGTAGGGCATTAGGCTCACACTAGCCCCGAGATCACATAGAGCACGGCTCACCACAAATCCTCCAACAATGCAAGGGATAGAAAAGCTTCCCGGATCCTTCAACTTGGGAGGCAAATTCTTTTGGAGAACGGCACATGTCAAAGCTCCCTCACTAAGGTCCACCACCGCACTCTTCTCCAATCTCTTCTTGTTACTCAAAATATCCTTCAAGAATTTTTTGTATGAAGGTATTTGAGTAATGGCTTCCACAAAGGGCATAGAAATCTCCAACTTATCAAGCATTGTTTTAAACTTGTTTTCTCTCTCGGTTTCTTTTGTTTTCCACAACCTTTGTGGAAATGGCAACAAGTTGCAAGGAATCACCGAGTCATCTATTTGCTTGCCCTTGTTCACATTCTTCTTACTTGAGTTGTTTCCTTCTTGAATTGGCTCCTTCCCTTTTGACTTGTTTCTTTGAATTAGAGGCTCATCATCATTTTCACTCTCAAGATTTTTTTCAATTTCCTCTTCATTTGGCATTTCCTCATCTTCATCTTTCTCAACATCTTCTTCAATTGTAAGATCATTAGAAGGAAAGGGTGGATCTTTCAAAGATTTTCCACTTCTAGTGGTGATGGCGTTGACATGATTTCTAGGATTTTCGGTGTTAGCCGGAAGTCTACCACTAGAAGATGAGGCTTGTGTAGATCCTTGAGTGCCTCCTCCTTGATTTTGGGTTTGTAGATTCTCCACTTGAGATTGCAACTTGCTAATTTGAGACATTTGAGACATCATCATGTTCATTAATGTCTTCATGTCTACATCTTGAGAAGGTTGAGAGGATCCTTGTTGATTTTGATTGTTTCCATGTCCTTGATTTCCTCTCCATTGTTGATTCAATTGATTTCCACCTCTACTTGCTTGATTTCCTTGAAAACCCGGAGGTGGATTCCTTCCTTGCACACCTTGATTGTTCCAAGAAGACCCAAATTGATTCCTTCCTTGTTGACCATAATTTCCATATCCTTGCCCTTGGTTTTGGGGTCTAGAATACCCAATCATATCCACTTGCTCCATGTTCGATAAAGAGCCTTGGCCACTAGGATCTAACAATTGACAAGCTTGAGAAGCATGGGCTCCTCCACATATGGCACAACAAGCTACTAGTGTCATACTTTGAGAACCGGGAGAATTGCAAGTAGCTTGTGGCAAGGAATACGGAGTAGACATGTAAGATACTTGAGGAGGAATTTGAGTCACCGCTTGCACATTTTGCTTCGGAGCTTGCATCATATTCTTGAGCATGTGTTGAATTGAATCCAATTGAGCTTGCATGGCCATCTTTTCTTCAACCTCAAACATCCCGGCAGTTTTTTCTTTCTTGGGTGGGTCACTTCTTTCATTATACCAATATGCCGTGTTAGAAGTGATCCTCTCAATCAATTGTTCACCATACTCCAGACCCATATCAATAAAAATGCCTCCAAATGAAGATGTGTCAAGAATGGTTTTTGAGCTATCTAACAATCCCTCATAAAAGGATGAGATGAAATCCCCCGGAGTAAGCAAATTCTTTGGACATTGTCTTCTCAACTCCTTAAATCTTTTCCAAGCTTCATACAAATTCTCATTTCCAAATTGTTGGAAATTTTGAATTTGTTTCTTCAATTTGGCGGCCTTGGAAGGAGGGCAATACTCTTGCATGAAGGCCTTGTAAAGTTGTTCCCAAGTTGTGAAATGGTTGGCCGGAAAGGAATTGAGCCAACTCAATGCTTGGTCTCTCAATGAAAAAGGGAATAACCTCAACTTGATTGCATCACTAGGAATCCCATTCATCTTGATTGTTTGACAAATCCGATCAAAGTGGACAACATGAGCCTTAGGATCCTCAACCCTTGAACCTCCAAATTGATTGGCTTGAACCATTTGGATAAGAGAAGTTTTGAGTTCAAAATTGTTGGCATCCACCCCCGGGTAAACAATGCAATCCTCTTCTTCAAACTCCGGAGCTAGATGGGCCGCCACGGGTTGTCTTTGTGGAACACCTTGATAAAAAATAGGAGGAACTCCTTGTGGAAAGTTTTGAGGCATGTTGAACATAGGATTGGCAAAGTTGGGGTGCATTTGATGAAGAAGATTTTGCATACCAACCCCTTGACCTTGTTGTTGTTGAGGTTGCCCATAGCCTTGAGGAATGCCCCCTTGATTCATGTTAGGATAAAATGGGTATTGAGCTTGTGGAAACCCCATTCCTCCTCCAACATAAGGATTGACATTAGGATTTGCCATGAAGTCTTGTGCCGGTAATTGAACGGGAGCAATTGGCACTTGAGAGACATTAGCATGAGCTTCATTGAATTCCCCTTGTCTCGGGCTATGTTGGGTGCTTGTATCATTGGGTGAGATTTGACCGGGATTGCTAGTGTCACCCGTCTCCATGTTTATCTCCAATGATTCAAACTCCTTCAACCAACCGAGCAAGTCTCTTCTTTGTCTCCTTAGCTCCCTTGATAGTTCTTGGTTGAAAGGGTGAAGGTCTTGGCTTCCTTTAGACCTAGTTTGCATGCACCAAGAGAAGTACCTACAACCAAACTCAAGCAAAGACAACTTTGGAAGCACTTAGTCACAATTTAAAACAAACGAACAAAGGAAAATAAAAGAAAATAAAATCTTAATCTCCTTAGAGTTCACTAACTCTAATGCTAGAAAGAAAAAGCAATCACACAATACAACCAAATAAACCAATCCCCGGCAACGGCGCCAAAAAGTTGATGTACGGGAAAGAGATGGTGAGTAACGGGTGTAAATTGTCGTTCCGCAAGGGATTGGGACTATGGCACGTACTTGAGTGACAACTAAAATTCTAGGCACCAAAGTATTGGAACCCACAAGAATCCAAGCAAATTCAAATTCATGGTTGGGTAAAGTTAATAATTAAAGGCTAAAAACTAGTTAACACAATGCAATTTAAACACAAGTAAACACAATGATAAAAGATGGGCTCAAATTAGGGGATGTTGCCTTCTAGATGCTTTAACAACTTAGGGATTAGGAGAGAACATCAACCAAGGGAACACAAGGGCAAAGCACATAAAAATCCTAGCTTAAAGCCATTTTCATAAGCTAATAAACAAGGATTAGAGCAAGGATTGCCCCACTTTCATGGTGTATCAAATCCTAGCTCTTAAAGCACATAAGCTTTTAGGCCCCCAATTCTTCCCTATTTTCATAGAAAGAAAATGGGTTTAGAGAAAGGAGAGGCTTAAATTCTTCCCCCAACTTTCATTGTGGAGAAAAACTATCCAAAAGCAAGTTAATAAGAGTTACGTACCAAATATTAACAAGATTCAACATAAATCCTTCACAAACAAATGAACCCTAGGTTAGATATCTTCCCCCTTATGCAATAATCACCTATTTAGCATCTAGGTTGGCAATATCACCCTAATCCGAGCCCAAAAACGGACTACTCACACTTCATAAGCATAAATAACAACAAAGCACAAGAAAATATCATAAACATTGCACAAGAGCTTTAAAAGAAGAGTAAGAAGCTTCTCTATTGAAGATGAAGAAATTGTGGTTGAATCCCACTCCAATCCGCGTTTACAAGCTTGCTAGATGAGTTAGAGATGTAATACTAGACTAGTCTAAGCTAAGGAAGTCTAAGGAAATGAAGAGAAATGAGTTCTAGCTATTTAGGGTTCTAACTTCCTCCAAAAATCCAAGAAAATCGCATAAATATTTTACAGAGCACAGAGGTACTGCCTTAGGGATGGCCATCCCTGAGGTAGTACGATTTAATCTTGGTTCATTGGAAAGGGCGTACGGGCATACGTATGGGCGTACGCCACCTGCTTCTTTTTTGAGATCTTGGATGGGCTGACGGATGGGCGTACGCAAGGGAGTACGAGGCTGCTGAAAATTCTTAAATGCATTCCAAACTCTTTGATTGATCTCTTGGTCCCAAAATTGCTCGTATCTTCCCACAAATCATTGAATTCCTCACTTGTTGTGAATGATTGTACCTTGAAATAAAACCAACATAACTTAGTCACAATTCACACAAGTTTTTAGGATATTCACAAATAAAAAGGGTTCAAGAAGGGGTAAAAATATAGACAAAAATGCACTTATCAACTCCCCCACACTTAAACTTTTGCTTGTCCTCAAGCAAAGACAAAAATAAATCACTATCCTAGCAAAGAAATTGATCACACTCCCACCTTGCTCAACTTGTCAATCCACAAGCCAACTTGCTACAACACAATTTGTTTCAAGAATCATTTTAGCATTCCACACAAGTTCTATTCTCAAGCCAATAACCAAGCACCAAAATTATTTAAGTGTGTGATGATCAAGTGTGCACAATACTAAGTTGAGATTATGCAAAACTTGGCTTTGAATGAGATCACATAGGCTTGCCCTTCATACTCCCACTAGTTCAACTCTAAGATTGCATGCTAAGATCAAGTAGGACTTTTATTGGCTTGTAACGGGGCTAAGGGTGAAAGGTTAACAAAGAAGGGGTATGGAAATTAAACAAAAGAGAGAACTTCACATTTATTCACGATTAGAGCTAGAAGAGATATAACATCTATGGACTAAGGAGCAAACAAGACTCAAAGGACAAAACAAACCTCTAAAGTGGTGGGGGTTGAGTACAACTCTCAAAACAAATTTCAAACTTTTATTCTTCTTCTTTTCATCACTTTTTCAATACTTTTCTCTTTATTTTTTTCTTTTTTTTTTTACATCATTTTTTTTTTTTTTTACAAATCAACCAACAAACTTATTCAATGAATCAAGACCCCCACACTTAGGCAAAATTATCAAGAGGATTACTTACAAAACAAGCTCCAATAAAGATCTCTTCTAAGAAAAAGAACAAATGCTCTATTCTCTCAAGGGTGGAGGAAAATATTTTTGGCTAAAGGTTGAAGGTTAAAAGATTAGGGTTAACACAAGGAAAAACAACCACAAAGAGTGGACAAGTGCTTAGCACTTATTAAACAAACAAAAGGCTCAACAGGGACAACGAATGATAAAAACATATGTAAGGGTAGGTTTAAAGGCTTGGGCTAAACAAAAATGGCCTAAATCATTTCAAAGCATGCAAATCTTGGGCTTCACTTGGGGAGTAATTAGGCAAGTTCTAGCAAAACCAACAAGAAAGGATTGGTCTTTAAAGCTAGATGATGCACTATGGGCCCTAAGGACCGCATTCAAGACTCCTATTGGTGTTTCTCCGTTTAAACTTGTGTTCGGGAAGTCATGTCATTTGCCGGTTGAGTATGAACACAAGGCATATTGGGCGGTTTCAAGATTGAATTTGGATGAGGACTCGGCAAGAGAAAAGAGGTTGTTACAATTGAATGAGCTTGAAGAGTTCCGGATGGATGCCTATGAAAATGCAAGGATCTACAAGGAAACGACCAAGTACTTTCATGATAAGAGAATTTTGAGAAGGAACTTTGAACCGGGGGACCAAGTGTTACTCTACAATTCAAGGCTCAAGTTGTTTCCCGGTAAACTCAAGTCAAGATGGTCGGGCCCTTTCCGAGTAGTGGAACATTACCCATCGGGCGCCGTTTCAATTGTGGCTAAGTCGGGAGATCCTTTTATGGTCAATGGGCAAAGGTTGAAGCTCTTTAATGAGCCAGAATTCAAAGAAAAGGAGGCCAATGCGGTTTGGGATCTTTTCTATCCCTCATACACTTGAACACCAAAGGTCAAGTCGAGCTAGCGACGTTAAACGTAGCGCTTCATGGGAGGCACCCCATGTTATCTTTTAAATTCTTGCATTTTTCTTTATCGCAATCTTACTTTATTTTCCTTATATGTTTTTTTTTATGTGTTTTAACTAGAGTTAGAAGTGTGTCTCTTGTGTTTTTGTGAGTCCATTAATCCTTTATTGTGTCAATTTTGCTTGCATATCTGGGATGGATTCATTGGTTTTAAGTGGATTTAGTTGAGTAATTGTGTGAGCATTAATCTTAATTGTTTAGGAAGGTGTTGGGAATGGTTTAAGTTTGCATGGTGATATTTTGGTTAAGTTTTTATCTTTTAGAGCCTTAGTTGTTGAGTGAATTGCATGCTATTAAATTTTGAGCTTGTTGGTACTGCCACTGGTACGCCCATCCCATGGGGCGTACGTTTTTTTTCTCCCAAAACCAGCGCTCACTGGAAGGCCACAAAAAAAAAATCGTACTGCCACTCGTACGCCCATCCCTGAGACCATCCTTGTCTATAGCTTTGAAGCAGGTAGCGTACTGCCACTGGTACGCCCATCCCACAGGGCGTACAATACTTCTGCCCAAAACCAGTGCTCACTGGAAAGGCACCCAAAAATGGTACTGCTACTCGTACGCCCATCCCTGAGGCCATCCGTATCTATAAAGTTGAAGCAGGTAGCGGACGGGCTGGCGTACGGCCATCCCTTGGCCAGTACGTATTCTCTATAAAAAAAAAAAAATCAAATTTTTTTTTTCTGCAGCAGCTTTTATTTCCTTTTCCATGCTTCTTCTTCCCTTTCCCGTGACCCCACTTCCCTGCCATTTCCCTTACAAAATCTCTCTTTATTCCCTGAATCTTCCCCCTTCCCTAAGATTCTCTCTTTCTTTCTTTTCTCCCTTCTTTCACGCCACACACACTCACATTTTCTCTCCATCTTTCCCAGTTCAACCAGTGTGAAACCTGAGCTGTTATCCCCTCATTTCATTTTCTTTGCCTTTCTTTTTAAGTATTCAAGGTATTTTTCTCCTTTTTCTTCTTAAAGTTTTTTGTGTTTGTGCTTAGATATAGACTTGATATTCTTAACTAGTATGCTTTAGACTATTTAGTTTATGCAAATGTGTGTTTTAATCTTTGTTGTTTTTCACTCTTTTTATGCTTGCTACTCATGTTTAGAAAATCTCCATTGTTCTTATGTGTTTCCTGTGATTTTTTTTTGTTTGGTTTTAAGCTTTCTTTCTTCTCTAAAAACCAAAAAAAAAAAAAAAAAAAAAAAAAAAAAAAAAAAAGCAGAATAATCTGCCAGTGACGTACTGCCTCAGGGATGGCCATCCTGAGGCAGTATCTCACTGGTAAGTTTTTACTAGTTTACTAAAAAAAATTAAAAAAAAAAAGGCTTTATTTCATTTTCTTTGTTCTTTTCTTTTCCTAACCAGTTTACTCTTACAAAAAAAAAAATCTTATTATTATTATTATTATTATTATTATTATTATTATTATTATTATTATTATTATTTTTCTTTCTTTCTTTCTTTTGCTTTTTCATATGTATATATTGCATATTTACTTCATATTTGAGCACTCAATCCCAAGAATTGGTTGATTTTAGTTCCCTTATCCCATTAATTGTGTTATTTTCTTGAAAGATAAAGAGAACTAAACAGGTGGTAAGGCGTGATGCTCCAAAAGCCTCACCTAACTTTGGAACAGACAAGCTCCATTTCAAAGAGCCAAATTATGAAGCTAGATATATCCAATTCAAGCAGAAACCCATTGCTACAGTGGCAACAATTGACTTGAAGACACTTAAACCTTTTGGATTGGATGCACTGATTGATGAGTTGGTCACAACCCCGGAGTGGAGATACTTGTTGTTTGATTTTCAAGAGAAGACACACATTGACATGTTGCACGAAGCGTTGGTCACAATGCAGGTGTTCCCATTCACTTTCACAACTGCCCGGGCAATAACCTTTAAGCTGGGCAACACAAGGTTTGATTTTTCTTTGGATGATCTGAGCCGATGTATGTGTTTTGATGCCTTACAAGATTTAACTGAATCCCAAAAGGATGCACGGCACCTTGAAGTCCCTAATGAAGACGAATTCTGGCAAGAAATAGTTGAAGGGGCTGTGGCACTGGAGTACTCCCGGAATTCCAATGTTACATTCAAAAGAAGGGAGTACAAAGTTTTGCATTATATTGTTGCTCATTGCATTTGTGCTAGGTATGGCACAACGAACCGGGTTTCTCGACCTGATCTTCTTTGCCTTTATGGCATCATTAAGAAGGAACCGGTTCATATGGGTTATCTCCTTGGGATGCTATTTCACAGCCAGCACCTTCCAAATGTGCATACTCTTTATATCGGGCCATTCTTGACTAGATTGGTGAAGGGTAGTGGAAAAACAGTGAATATCTCAGGGCCATCATCCGATGGAGTGCATCAAATCACCGATCGCAACATGATCAACATTATGAGAGCTGAGTCAAACAAGAAAGAGGGAAAGACGCCACTGAGCCTCCTCCTCTTCGGGAACCGGCTGTTTGCCTCGACTGCTTTCGGCAACGGCGACGGGTTCCTCATCCTCTCGACTGCCCGGCCTCCGCCTCCACTGGTTAGGAGGCGGGGTTCCTTGCTGGATGATGCCCTCCATGATCTTCTTCAGGTAGAAGCACTCCTCCGTACTGTGGGTATAAGATTTATGATAACGACAATACTTAGCGTTCTTACCCATCTCTTCGTTTGTCGCGCGATCGTCGGTCGGCGGAGGCGGAGGCGGGGCAACCGCTTGTACCTCGTGTACCGGACGCTCGGGAATCGGCCGATAGGCGTGGACCACTGGTCGGTCGTACGGCCGTCTAACTTCGGGTCGCCGAGCCACGTCCGGGCGCCTTTCTTTGGCTTCCGCTCGCGTTCTCTTTCCGCTGGCAGATCCGCCGACTTCGCGCTGTCGCTTGTGCTTCATAGCCTGCTCCGTATTGGCCCTCTTGTTGGCCATATGAATGGCTTCTGCGTAGGTGGCCGGCCGATTGTCCCTCAGGTCTCGGTACAGCTGGCCGGACCGCAGCGACTCGATGAAGAAGGTGAGCGCCGTCTGGTCCTCGACCTCTTCTATGGACTGGATTTCTTTCTGCCAGTGGGCCAGATAGGTTTTCAAAGATTCGCCTTCGTCTTGACGGATGTCACCCAAGTGAGTTAGGTCCTTTGTGGCTTAATATTAGCGGCGTAATGGCTCATGAAGCGGTCTGCCAGCTCTTCAAAGTTGTGAATCGACCCTGAGGGCTGCGCCACCAGCCACCTTTGTGCTGACCCTTTCAACGTGGGTAAGAAAGCACGACACATGACCGGGTCTCGTACCCCCAAAACCTGCATCTTGGCCTGATAGCTCAGCAAATGCTCGCGGGGATCGCCGGTTCCATCGAACGTGGCTTGTTCCGGGAACTTGAAGTCACTCGGTATCTTAAAAGTCATAACCTCGTCTGAGAAGGGTAAGGCGGTCAGCAACGTACGTCCTGGGGATTTGGCTTTTCCCTCCATCCGTTCTTTCAAATTTCGCACCTCCTGTACTAGGTTAGCCACTTCGACCCTCTCCCGGGTGCGATTTCCCGTGGATTCCGTGCTTTTGCCGACTTCAGACTCAGCCGGTTGGACGGGGTTGCGAGGAGGTTGCTCCACGCGACGAGTCTCAGTCCTGGCTCTTTTGGTTCGGCTCTTCTCTCGTGCAGCTTGTCGGTCGCGGGCGGCTAACGGGGCACGACTGAGCTCCTTCCGGCCTAATCGTTCCCTTGCCGACCGACGCCCAACGCTGGGACCTAGCCGGGAATGAACGGATTGTACCGGTTGGCTTTCAG